TACGGTTCACACCTTTGTACATTGCTGGCTTTGCCTGGTCCAGGGGTCCTCTAGGTTGGCTAGCGCCTAGTGAAATCTTCCCACTGGAAATCCGTTCCGCTGCTCAGAGTATCACAGTCTCCGTCAACATGATTTTCACCTTCGCCATAGCTCAAGTCTTCACCGCCATCTTTGCCACTTAAAATTCGGGCTCTTCATCTTCTTTGCAGTTTGTGTGGCGGTGATGAGCATCTTCACCGACAAGTTCCTTCCTGAGACAAAGGTGAGTCCCCATAGAAGAAATGACCATTGTTTGGAAAACCACCCTCTGGGGCAAGTATCTCAGAGATGATAAAAACCCAGACTATGAGATGGCAAAGAAGAGAGGATCCGCCGCCTAAAGTTTGTTTGTGGACTCCTGCAGGAGGCTTCATTTTTGCCTTTCTGTTTTTGCTTTAGTTTTTTTTTTGGCCAGAGCTCTAGTTTCTTTCTCGGTTTTGCTTAAATATATAATTTTGGTATTTGAGTTTTAGAAGATATTCAAATTTGGTATAAAACTAATTAGATTTTCTTTAGTCATTGTTCTGTTGTTTTTAATTTGATTCTTTTACTTATAACTTTCAAAGGAAGTTTTGTTGTAGTAGTACAAAACTTAGATAAGATTTCTTTAATTAAATTTCATTAAATATATTTTAAATAAAATTTAAATTTGAAAATCAAACCTAATATATTAGTATTATAACTTAAAGAGAAAATATCATTATTTTTTTTTTATGTATCATGCTGCTAATCCTAACAGTGAATCGATCATTATATATATATATATATATGTATATGAATTGGTTTTCACTTATACTTCTATAAGTGTTATATCATTGTATAATAATATAAATGTAAAATTCGGGAAATTTTTTTTTTTTAATCAGGTGTTTTGTATGCTTATATTAGACATCAATATAATGTTTTACATTTGTTTGATAAATTAATGTGACAGAAAATTCCCCTTATTTATCAATGCAAGACATTTAATCATAACAAAGTTGTGTTACTAAGTTTCAAGAGCATATATATAAATATTGTAACGCAAACATTTTTTTAAGCCCAATTATAGGCAAATTAGGGCTCAGTTTTTTAATGATTTGGGTTGGTTACAAGTTTATATATTCTAAAACCAAACTTAAATTTGGGTTAATCTTGGTTTGAGATGTCCTGTGTTATAGTCTTCAACCTGGGCTCTGCTCCAATCAACTCTAGCTATGTTCCAATCCAAAGAGACATATTGTGATTTGGACTTTATAAGTGTGCTAGTTGTTTATTTTGAAAATGATTTTGATATTATTAAATAAACTGAAAACGACTTTACAGTATAATTATTATCTGAGTCATTTTTCATTTTTTATTATCATTTTTTTAGATAAAAAAGCCCAATCAAACCATCTTATAGAAATGGGCAAAAAGAACAAAAAATATATATAAATGAAAAGTGACCCATTGACATTTGATCCCACTTCATTTTCAGTTCGACTTGTAGCCGCCCATACTAGAAATTAATTTACCAAACTTTTGTCTCAACAAAAACAAGCAGAATCAAATGCTGCCGGTCTTAATGACTTAATTCCCCGGTTATCTTTTTGCCGACTGCTGATGACAAAGCTTTTCCATGACAGGTACATGTGGAAGTTTAGGTTTCTACTTTGATCCATGGCTTTAAGATAGAAGAAATGTCTACTTTTTAACATTCAACTAAATACTAACATTCTTATGTATGATAATGACACATTTGCAAAGTGCAAAAAAATTGAACTTCTTTGCACATTCCTTTGCTGATGCTATATATAGTGAGAATTAAATGTTCCTATCCTACAATTTTGAATGAATTTGAGCTATATTGAAATATTTTAATTTTATTTTTTATTAAACTATAATAAAAAATTTCTGAACTTTATTACTTTATTTAAATGAGTTTTTATATTTTTATTGAACCAAAATAAGTTCTTTATCTTTATTTTATATATGAATAAACTTTTAATTTTTTATTTGTATATAAATAAAGATTTCAACCTTTAATTTATATTTAAATAAATTCTTAACATAAATTAATATTTTATTCAACATAAAAATTTATCTAATTACAAATAAAAAATTAAGTTTATTTAAATACAATAAAAATATAAAAATTTATTTAAAAAAGTAAAATAATTCAAAGATTTTTTTTTTTTTTTTTTGTATTTCAACCTTTACTTTTCGAGTCATTAAAACTTTCTTTCTGAACAAAAAGTTGACCAATTTTTTTCCTATCGTGGAAGTTTAGGGATGAATAATGGTCTAAGATTATCCATGGACCTTTCTGCATAGATGAATTTAGACTAATTAGAGGGTGATCCTAAAGCTTTATGAGTGGTCATGATTCAAATTTTCTAAGATTGACAAAATTAGGGTGGTTCACGATCCTACCAAAAGTTTGAATCGTTGGACCAATTAAAAGTATGTAGATTTTAGAAAATATAAAACATGGAATATTATTTTGGACAAAAATAATTTCTATTTTAGTATATAATTTAGTGTTTATTATTCCTTTGTATCCTTTTTTTTTGTTAATTTATTTTGCATTTTCTTAAGTTTTAATATATATTTGAACTTATTTTTATTTTTTAATTATCAAACATGTTTTCATTTTTATTTTTTATTTTTTAAAAAAATAAAAAAAACTTTTATTTTCTAAATCAAAACTACTTTTAGGCTTTTTCCACTGCAATATGAATGCCTTTAGGCCTCTTACGCAAGCCCAATAAAAACCAATAAACATAAATTTAAATGGACAAAAAATATGAATTTTTTAACAAAGGAAGAGATTCAAAAGTCCAACACACCCCCAACTTAGCACTGTTTTAATTCGAGTCGTTTGAATATCATTCTAACTTTCAAGAACCAAAAAATTAATTAGTTTTAATATGTCCATATTCCATAATTGTGTGGGGTGAGATGCCTATTCTTCGACAAATTATTATCTTAATGATATATAATGAATGGTTGAATTATATAATTTATAAGATCTCAAATTGCTTATTAAAATAAGTATAAAAATTAATTAATTAGAATTAAAAACCCAACCCCTTTTCATGTGACACATTTTCAAGCAAAAAAATTAAATTCTCATGTGATCTAAAGAAAAAAGAGAGGTGAAAACCGATACAAAGGACTAGCAAAAAAACAGGATAAACCATAGAAAAATAATTAATTGACTTTTCCTAGGCCTCGATTTCAAGAAAATTTTGGACATGAAGTAGGAGCTTGAACAGGATTACATTCGTGACATCTCGAGGCATGAATTCCCTCTGTCACATAGAACAAAATTGCTGTTACTGTTTGTTTATTGCAGTTGCTTTTCCTCAATTCAATTTTTGCTGTGTCCCTGGGTGCGTCCGAGGAGGAAGATGATGGCCCTCAAGGACGTTGAGGACGATAACGAACACGACAAAAAAAGAGACGTGTGTAAGAAGGCTGCCGTCGGCATATTAGCGCGCGTGCCACCGTCATAGCAACTGTGCTTGCTGGGGCCAGTCATATAGAGCTTTTGGTTTTAAGTCCGGTGCCCTTGCGACACTTCATCGTTGCATCCAGCCGACCCCTGCTCCAAGACAAAATCTTAGGGATAAAGTGGTAAACCCTAGCATCATGTTTATAACACTTTTTTTTTTCTGCCATGCTATTGATAGCATTTTAAATCAAATCCATTTCTTTTATGTGTCGAGTTAAACTATATGTGACCAAATCCAAAGAATGCAACATATATAGTACTATATATAATGGTAGCTACAAGTACTGTTTTTAAATTATCTCTATTTCCATTATTTTATATAAATTTTTCTATTAAGATTAATATCACCAATCAAGTGACTCAAATTCAATTAAAAATTTGATAAAACCAAAGTTCTAACATTAACAAAAATAACATTAGTAATATATGTCATTTCACTATTTAAAAAAAACACATGTTTATTAAAAAAAAATACTCACATCTTTTATAAAAATTACAACTTTTTTATCTTATAACCTTCCCTTTTATTCTTAAAAAAATACTAAATTTTCCCTTATTTTAAAAACATGTTGTGTTTTTAAAATCACCCATTGAGTGGGTGAGCAAATTCTAGCTATTGTTATGTACATCTTGAAAATTCAAATGGTGAAGGTGGACTGCTATTTCTTTCATTATCGACAAAAATTAAATTATTATATTTTTTGGGTTCATTTGGATAAATAATAAGATTAATTTTGATAAGATTGAAAATATTAATAAAAATTACTGTAATTATGATTAAAAAAAATTATTGTAGCAAAAATTTAAAAAAAATTTCAATAAAAAATTTATACTAAATCAATTTAATAAAAATTAATATTTGAATTTAATTGATGATAATTGGATCTTAATTATGTTTGACTAAAAATGCAGTTGCATCCAAACGTTCACTTAATCACATAATTATGATTTAAACTTGAGATCTCTACTAACCTTTACCAATGAATTTATTTAATTACTTGCATGTGTGGCATTATTAATTGAGTATAATGAGAGATTATCTATCAAAAATGGTTAATTCAACTTAACACTCTGATTCGATTTTAGAACTACTGTAAAAGGATTAACTCTACCATTGAGTTCTTGTGCCACTTTTATACTAAACCAAATGAGGAGAATTGAGACGTCATTAATGCTAAGCATAGCCGATCCTAGAAAACATTTTGCAAATATCCGTAAATTTAAGTTTTTTTCTTATCAAACAAAAAAATATTTAAATTTTACGTGCGAAAAAATCCAATTCGAGGATAAAAGAAAGTTATAAAAAATTTAAAGTTTATATTTATTGAATATCAATTCTTATAAATAGTTACATAATTAAGTATTTAAGTATTGGAATTTAAACATTTTTAAAGTAATCAATCCTTTAGCACAATAACACTTAAGATAGTTTAAATTGTTGCCTAAGCGACAAAGCGGCAGAGGTTAAACACCAAATAAGTCAAGCCTCCTGCGTGCAATTGGGTCCACATAGAACCGTCCAAATATTTGTTTTGTTCCATCGACCAAAAACATTACTTAAAAAGAGAAAAAAAAATTAACAATAAATTGAAAGTTGAGGGTTAAACGCTTTGTCTCCTCAATTAAAGAAATTAAAGGTTAAATGTTTAGTAGCCAAAAGGAAGTAAAGGCCAAATGTTTCAACCGCTCTGATCATAAATGCTCGACACTTGTGAAGCATTTTGAGCAGCAAAGAAGAAAGTTTTGACTAAAGGTGTTGAGCAACAGTAACATCTCGTGGTCGGTCATAGAAGGAAGGTTGAACTGTTTCTGGAAGGAAGTCTGTCACCCTTTTCCTTTATTTATTTTTTTTAAAAAGCCGTCTGGGTTGGCTAGGCTGTTTCCCTTGGTGTCTCAAGCAGATTATAAACCCCCTCAAAACCCACAAACTCATTAAATCTTAGCAGCCATACCCCATCAGCTATCTATCTCTCCTTCAAACTATACCTAAATTTCTCTCTGTCTCTTTCTTCTGTTTCTTTTCGTTCAGAAAAAGTCCAGAATCATGTGCTGCTTCTCCTCATCTTGCAAACAGAGTTTGGACCACAAAAATCTATCCTCAATCAAAGTAAAGGAAACAGACATGTTAACTCCTTTGAACCCCAAGAACCCAACAGAAGAAAAACAAGACCAGATTTCAGAAACGACCTGTCTGTCTATTGTAATTGGAGAAGCAAAGTGCATGGCCAACATAGCTATTCCGATGGTACTAACAGGGCTTTTGCTCTACTCTCGCTCCATGATTTCCATGTTGTTTCTTGGCCGTCTAGGGGAGCTTACTCTAGCCGGTGGTTCGCTTGCTATTGGATTTGCTAACATCACTGGATACTCAGTTCTCTCTGGCCTTGCCATGGGAATGGAACCCATCTGTGGCCAAGCTTTTGGAGCCAAAAGATACAAACTTCTCGGCCTCACCTTGCAAAGAATGATACTTATGCTTCTTTTGACTTCAGTCGTCATAGCTTCTTTGTGGTTCAACATGAAAAATATCCTTCTCTTTTGCGGCCAAGATGAAAATATTGCCAATGAAGCTCAATCCTACATTCTTTATTCTCTTCCAGATCTTCTAGCACAATCCATTTTGCATCCTTTGCGTACATATTTGAGGACTCAGTCTATAACTCTGCCTCTGACATACTGTTCTACTCTGGCTATTCTTCTCCACATTCCTATTAACTACTTTCTTGTTTCTGTGCTCAATCTTGGAATCAAAGGCGTTGCTTTAGGCTCCATTTGGACGAACTTCAATCTCGTATTTTCATTGATCGTTTACGTTAAAATCTCCGGTCTGTACAAGAAAACATGGGGAGGAATTTCTTCAGACTGCTTAAAAGGCTGGATATATTTACTGAATTTATCCATTCCAAGCTGCATTTCAGTTTGCCTGGAATGGTGGTGGTATGAAATCATGATTTTGCTATGTGGATTGTTGTTAAATCCACAAGCAACCGTTGCTTCAATGGGCATTTTGATTCAAACCACATCTTTGATATACATTTTCCCATCTTCCTTAAGTTTTAGTGTGTCAACCAGAGTTGGAAATGAACTTGGAGCTAACAATCCAAAGAAGGCAAAATTGGCCGCAATCATTGGTCTCTCCTCGAGCTCCATACTAGGACTTTCAGCATTGGTTTTCGCTATTCTGGTAAGAAAAAAATGGGCTACCATGTTCACCAAAGACCCAGAAATAATTTCCTTAACATCAATGGTATTGCCTATAGTCGGACTCTGTGAGCTTGGAAACTGCCCACAAACAACAGGCTGTGGAGTTTTAAGAGGAACTGCAAGACCAAAGTTGGGAGCAAACATCAACCTGGGATGTTTCTACCTGGTAGGCATGCCAATTGCAGTGTGCTTGAGTTTCTTTGCCGGGTTTGATTTCAAAGGACTTTGGCTTGGTCTTCTAGCCGCCCAAGCCTCATGTGTGATGACCATGTTGGTCATTGTGACTCGTACAGATTGGAACTGTCAAGCCAGGAGGGCACAGGAACTAACAAGAGCCGTCCCTGTGGATGATGATGACCATACCAATCAGGATGGAACATTGAAAGTTGATTCTGATTCCACTGAATCTTCAGGATTATTAAATGACGTAGAGCAAAACAGCTTACCTGTCTGATTTGGAACAGACGATGTTGATTTTTCTAACTTTTTTTTTTTGGTGTGAATTTGATCAAACCATTACTGGCCGTATCTTGTTTAGGTCGAATTCATGTAAAGTATAAAAGGGGGGATGGACTTGAAATTTAGGGATAAAAAGTTTGGCACAGGCTTTGTTTTATGCATTATTTTCTTGTTTCAGAATAGAAAACAAAACAGAACATAGATTTTGTTGGCAAAAAGTACGTCTGTTGTGCGGGCAATGTGTGTTGTGTCGTTGTTTTTTAAACGCTTTGCGCTACGCGCAACAATTTCGTCAATTGGGTAGAAAAAATCAGCCTCGTAATTGGCCCGTGCGTGTTCATGCTAGAAATGGCTCGTGGGGATTTAGTTTTTAACACTTCTGTCGGTTGGTTGGATTCTAACGTGCCCAAGCCAGCTGGTCACCATTTGCGACTACCGACTCCGTGAGTGACTTTCTCTCCCTCGATGCGGTTACTTGAACCAAGTCACTTCATCTCATAAATCCATTAACTAACAGTAACTTTTAGTTATTAAAAAGTTTAATTTTTTCTTTTTTACGTTTGTTATATTTATTGTATTTTGAAAAAAAACCTTGATAGGAAAAAAGTGATAAAACTTTTTAGAACGTGAACTTAGTAGTAGTTGTTGTGAAAAAAGAAACTTAGATAATGTTTAATATGAGATAATTATTTTAAAAATCATAATAATTTATATATAGTAATTAGATTATTATATTTTATAAGTATTCGATGATCTTATTTAGAGCAGTGGAAGTGATCTTAAATCATAAAAAATGATTAGATCACTAATTTAAAAGTTAATTTAATTTTTACACAAAAAAATGAGAACTTTTATTATTAAATTGAAGTGATATAAAAAATTAATAATAGTTTATGTTGTTCATTTAAGTCATGTTTGATATATAATATTATGATATGATAGTATCGTAACGTATAGATCTATAAAACTACTACTAGATATAAACTTTAGGAGTCGTCATCAATCTTTTTTATTAAATTGCGATTGGTTACCTAACTGAATCTATCCTATTTAAAGAAGAGTTCTAAGATTGACTTAGGTATCTTTAAATAATAGATTCTAATATACTAAATTAAATTTAGGTTCGGGGTTACGATTATGTGTGAGAAAAATTATAGTACTCTCACAGTACTAATCAAAAGATGATACGAGTTTAATTTCAAGCTATCCAAGCCTTAAAACATATTTAAAATTTATCAAATAATTTAATATTAAAAATTATCATAAAATTACTCTAATAGTTTAGTAACAATTTAAAATTATTCTTTTACCTTATGAGTATTCATGGAAACTAATATCTCACTTTGAAAAGATTTCGTCATCAAATTTATTTGATTTTCTTATAAAAATTTTTATTTATGAAAACGAGGTTTAGAAACTTGATATCAAAAAATTCTCATCCAAAATTTTCAATATGTTAATAAAATTTAGAAAAGATATTCTCATTTAAGAATTTACATAAAGATTGTTATTTGTAACGATTTTAGTAATTATATAATCGGAAATTAAAAATCTAATTTTAAAAAATAATTTATTTTCAGAAATATCCTCCAATATATTAGTAAAATTTTCTGTCAAAGATTATTCTCTAATTCGTTGGTAGGATTTTTTTTAAAAAAAATACTTTTTAAGAAAATTCATTAAATTCTCCACTAGTTTGGTAAGACTTAATTCAAGATTTAAATCTTCTAGTAGTTTGGTAGAATTGAAAAATATTTTTTTGAAATATTTTTATATTTAAAAAAAGAAATAATAATAAAATAAAATAAAATAAAACAAAAAACATCATGCAAATATTATCATGCTATAAACACAAGTTATCATGCAATAATATAATATATAAGTTATCATATAATTAATATAAAATATCATACAAATATATTAAATTATGCCAAAATAAGGTCTAAAAATAAATTAATAAAAAAACCCATGCAAAAATAAACTTTTTTGATCATATTAACACAATTAACCATTTTAAATAATAAACATTAAAATATAAATATAAATATAATATATAAAAAAATAAAATAAAAAAAGGAAAAAGAATACTTGTGGAACGGGTCGGATCTAAAGTCGAGTTTCGCATGCATTCTACTCAAGTTACATGTGGATCCGAATCTTAAAAATGTTGCTGTTTTGGTTGCGTATAAAAGCTTATGTTTTAGCTTTTTCTTCAGAAAGCCTTTCTCTTTTCTCTCTCTAACTTAAACTTCCTCTGACTTTTCTCTAGCAATCTCCCCAAGAAGCTCAACCAAATGCAGATTTCGATCAAAACCTAAGTTTCAAGCCTGAAAAATTTAATATATTATCGAAAACTATAAACTTTTCCAGAAAATCGATAAACCCAAAAACCAGTCACCGAAAAATCCTTCCAGCCGTCATATGGTCCACCAAAAAGCTCAAATCCTCACTAAAAAATTCATAAAAAAACCTAAAAAAACCCTAAATCCCAATAATCTAAACAAAATCCTAATTTCCCAAAACCAAACAAAAAAGCCTAGGGATTAAAACTTCTTAAGAATAGAAGGAATTGAAAAAAAATTTCAAAATCAAAACCTAATATCCTAAAGCTAAACAAAGGAAAACCCAGAAGACTTTTAACAATAGCTTTTGCTTTCTGTCCTCTATCACTGATTTTCAAGATTGAAAACCCAGAAGACTACCCACAATTTCCAAAAACCATCGAAATAAAAAATCCTAAACTTTCCCGACCTTTTATGTGTTTAATTTTGTTCATTTATAGGAATTGAATATCTTTAATTTTGGAAATCAAATTAATTATGATCTGGGATATGATTTGATTGTATGATTTTATTTGATTTTGCAATGATTGCATGAATTAAGCCAAGGATTCATTAACTCCAATATCCAATCCCCAATTTCCTCTTTTTTGATTTTCTTTTCTTTTTTTTTTTTTTGGATTTTTGACTTTTTTTTTACTATTTAAAACAAGTAAAAATAAAAATAAATAAATAAATAAATAAAATCAAATTAAAATTAAAAATTTTCTTATTGGGCCCGAAGTTTCCCAAATTGGCCTAATTTTTTGTCAAAGTCTGTTTTCGTCCTAAAAAAATCTCGGATAAAATGAGGTATCCATAGTTGCCCATATTTGCATAGTTTCTGTGAAACAAAAATCACACAAAGATAAAAGACATCCATTTTGTTCAGGTCAACTCAAGGATCCTCTAAACAAAGGCATGCAATTTTGAAAAAATAAATCAAGAAATAGGCTTTTCTAAACAGAGGCTAAACAACTTTAAATAAAAAATTGGCTCTTTTATTCAAAGGCTAAATAACTTTAAGTAAGAAATGAGTTCCTTTAAACAAAGGTTAAGTAACTTTAAAATAGGTGATTAGTACTAAACTGTAAAATAAATGACCTAGACTGAGCTAAAGTTAAAAATGAAAGTGATCGAGTTGTATAAAAAAATGTGACTAAGACTGAGCCATAAGTCAAAAAATTAAATAATTTGGACTAAGTCAAGGCCAAAATGAGTGATCGAAATTAAACCATAAGTCAAAAAATATGAATGATATGGATTAAACCAAGGTTAAAGATGAGTGACCATTATTGAACCGCATGTTAGAAAAATAAATGATTTAAATTGAACCAATATTGAAGATGAGTGATCGGGATCAAACCGTAGGTTAAAAAAATAAATGACTAAATTGAACCAAGATCGAAGATGAGTGATTGGGATTGAATTGTAAGTTAAAAAAAATAAATGATTTGGATTGAACCAAGATAGAAGATAAGTGACCGAAATTGAACCTCAAGTCAAAAAAATAAATGATCTTGATTGAGCCAAAATCGAAAATAAGTGACTAGAACTAAACCACAAGTAAAAAAATAAATGATCTGGACTAAGCCAAGGTAAAAAATAATTAAGTCTGAGCCTACATTAAGATATGAGATCAAACGATCCATAAATTTTCAAAGATTATGCCATGAGGTCTTATAGATTGTCTTCGAATGTCTTTGAGAAAAATATCCTTTAAAATAAAAGCTTTCACAATTCTAAAATTCAAAAAAATTCTCCTCATCCATTTTGTTCGAGTCCGAGAAAACTAAAAATTTTAACTTGAAATCCAAAGATTAACAATTTAGAAATTCAAAGGTTCATCACAAAACTTCAAAGATTCATAAGGTTCCATAACAAAAGTGGAAAGATTCTAAGACTCCAAGCTTCACAAAAAAATTCGTAATGATTTCAAAATTCGCATAAATTCAAGATTCGCAAAAGTTTTTAGATTCGTAAAAATTTTTTATTAGCAAGAATTTGAACATCGTCATTTGCCAAGATTTTTAGATTCAACGATTCACATTCAAAAGATTTTTTATTAGTGGTTCATATCCAAAATTCAAAATTTCTTGTTTGAAGAATTTATGGATCACATCAAAGGCTTCAAGGCTTTTTTTTCAAAAATTTTATGGCTTTACACCTGAATATTCTCATTTAAAAAAAATTTAAGGTTTCGCATCTAAAATTTCAAATATTCTTATTCGAAAAGCTTTTTTAAAAAAAGTATTTATAACTTTAAAAGTTTGAAAAGTTTTTTTTTGTTAAAAAAAAATCTCATTTTGGAAGATCTTCCTCATTCAAGGATCCAAAGTAAAAAATTTTCTCCAATTAAAGTCGAATTCTTGTATGCAATAAATGCAAATATCTTCTACTTGTTGCAAATGTAACAATCCATATTCTCACTAAATGATGCAAATGCATACCACACAATGATTCAAATATTTTCTACATGATGCAAATGCATGATTCAACCATGATGCAATTGCAATTATCAAAGATTACAATATAAACACAATGTATGTAATGCAGATGTCACTACATCAATGACATGAATTTCAATTGTGGTAAAAAAGTTTTCAAGACTCTACTATCTCATATATTCCTTTTTAGCATCTCAACATTAATGATTTTAGAACAAATTTCATCAATTAGTCCATGTTATTTTCTTTATCTGGTCACAATTCACAAGTTATGTCAACCAATCCATCACTATATTCATTATTGGGTCATTTCATTTTCTTAGGCTTCTTTCACTTTTGTCATCTTAGATTTCTTTCAAAATAATGAAAAAATCTTTTATGAACCTTATCATTCATTTATTTATCAACATTTTAATTCATGACAAATATGATACATTTCTTTAATTATTCAAGAGATGCACATATGGTAAAGAAAATTAGGTACCGAAAGAAAGTTTGGTAAATAACAAATCAAAGATGAGCAAAATGCTGTGGGATATCAACATTTAGAATAATTACTGTTTAGACAATTTTAAATTTTAACTTAGAATTCTTTCTAAAAAATACATTCCATCGATATTCTCGATCCATATTCTTGGAATCCTTAAATGAAACTCCTTTCCTAAATCTATTTTTTACCTAAATCATTCTTTCAAGTTTTCAATTTAAGTATTTTTTCCTCCTTTTACTTTTTTCTTTTCTTTTTGCTTTTTTTTTTCACATCTTTTTCGTATCCTTCTTT